ACAAATAAAACTACAGAATAAAATATAAACTATTTTACTTTATATCGGAATTCCCATTATGTTAAAAAAAATAACAATAATATTTATTAAACATGAGATCCTTTTCTTTGACATTATTTTGGCCGTTACGCATTTCACATGACTATATGTACTGTATAGACTCAGCTGTCGATCTAGTGTGGTGTTTTGAGTTATTTCACAATGATAAGTAATAAATTTAGTTAAAACATTACAATATTTCATCCGACCATTACATAGGTCGTCTCAAACACCTTGTTCTAACAAAAATCATCTCCCAAGAATGGTTAATCATTTTTCTATGATGTTATTGTTGTACACGGAAAATAATATCCGGTTGCGTTCGATCCGCATTGGCACCCTATTGTGCGATTACCGTGGTAGGTAGCCATTTTAGATGAAATTCTTGGCCTTGTGCCGAAACCTAACTACTGCTGGCTTATAAATTTAAGTTCTCATATGCGCATACTTATATAATGTGATATGATACGCGTTTAGGTGCGTGTGCATGCACACTGAAATATGTGTTTGTTCTATTAATTATAATTAACGGTAATGACTCAGACAAAACCCTAAGCTAATAAATGGATTATTCTTAAATATACACCCAAAAAAATAAAGAGAAAATTCAACCCACACGTTATACATTTTATTAGACATAACCGACATGTATCTGACCAACAGTAATGTTTTTAAGGGATATATTATACAAGTCGACTACGCATATTATACCCGTGGCACCTATACTACCCACTGTTATAAAACGACAACAGAATTTAAACTTTATTGCGCAAGACTTTTAATTAAGATAGGTACAAGGTAACCATAACGTTTTTTTTTTTTTTAAAAAAAAAATTTATTTTAGACATTTAGACAGTTTAAGAAGAGTGATTTATTTGACTTTAGAGCTGTTTGTGTTACAATTAACTTAACAATTTACGAGTTAAAAAAAAAATTAAAATATTGCTATATTTTTTAAGTGGATTAAAAATGCACTTTTTATGCAAGATAAATTAAAAGTATTTGATATTATAATTATGTTATTTTTTTGGCAATCTAGATTACTAGATCAAACTATAAATAATAAGAATTCCTACGTAAAAAAAAAACTCTTTATTTTGAACGTCACATAATGATTCAGTGTTCGAATATCACAGGAAATAAAAAATAAAAAACAAGGTGATCATAAACTATAATAATAATAATAATAATAATAATAATATTATACCTATAGTATTTGTATTGTGATATGAATTTATATTATATTTCATTTTTAATAAATAATCACTAAATATTGCAAACAATGCAATAAAACTATCGATTTGTACCGTATTGGGTTTAGTATACATGCCATTGTGTTTATTCTTGATTATATGTAAAAGACTCAAATAATTTTTTTATGCTTCAAATGCATTTTATGTACGTTTAAGAATAATATGAAATATATATTTATTTTATGATTTTATTTTTAATACTTGAGTACTTAAAAACATCGAAAAAATCTCTAATTTACTTTTATTCGAAGGTAAAATGGCTTTACTCATCTAATAAAATATGTATATACTAATTAATCATGGTAATTATTTAAAAATATTTATAAAACATAAAATCCTCTGTAAGTAAATACTCAGGTCTTAAAAATTATCATGGACATACGAGTATAAGTATTTGAAAATATTTTAAATGTGTTTTGTTAGTATAATATAATTATTTATAGTAAATTCAATAATTTTTAATTTGAGTACTTTATGATGAATAGCTATACCTAAAAAATGATTTGTTTTTATTATATTTTAAGAGTATTTTTAACAAGATGTACGTGATTACAATTTACAATTAATATTTTAACGGCTTACAGCGTTAAATGCTTTAGAATATAATATTTTTATAAACATTTATTGATATCATCTAAACATTATAGTTAAAATAAATTATAAAATACAAAGTGATTCTTTAATATCAAATAATTATTATTTCAAAATTGTTTTTGCAAATATTTATTTTATATAACCTCCAGTCAAAATAAAATAACATTTAGATGTTCAAAAAAAAATTTTTTTTTTTCAAATATTTTTTAAGTTTCTTACTTTTTTGAATGATAACATATTATTTTAAATTCATATTCTAAAGCAAAATATTTTTTGGAATAATCTGTATTCGGAAGAGTAGTTTATAAGTTTTAACTATTTATAATTTGGATTAGCTGAGTGGAGTAGTATACGAATACTCCACAAAATGATAGTTTGCTACTCTACTTATCAAAACTTTAAATACTTAAAACTATTAACTGTTCGTTCAAATATATGTTATATGTATCATATTATGTATTATATATTAAAATACTATAAAAATATTCCATTTCAGAATATGAATTTATATTAGAATATGATAAAAAAATATAAAAAAATATTATTTTTCTAAAAAAAGTTGTTTTATTTCTACTAAAATCTATGTGAAAAAAATACTTTCAAAAGCATTAATGGATTTTGAAATAATGAGTATTGTTTGATAAAATAATCATTCATAATAATAATAATAATAATAATATAGATACGTTTCATTGTTGACGAACTCAACGTCTTGTACAGGTGAAGAAATATGTGGTTTTATAATCCAGATACAAAGAGTCGTTTTTGCACGATTTATCGTCATCTTCATCCACAAAACAATAATTTATTCTCACGCCCGTCGCCCACATACTATAATTGTATTTACCCAAACCCGTATATCGAGTGCAGACTTAGCTCGACTGTGCAATGTTGGTAATACCTATATGGCTATACATATATATTATACTATATAAGATTGCACCGGGGACACGTTAAACATCGATAAACAGACCAGAGTCGATATTTATCGTCCCTAAAATATTATATATCCGGTGCGACAACGGGTCTGTCTCGGACATCCGACACACGTGACCTATGACCATCACGTTAACGATATACGTAATACCCAGAGGATGAAACAGATATAAGCTAATATCATTAATATTATTATACTTACACGATCTGACCTGATGAAAACGGCGTAATACGTATTATTATATATTGTATTGGTGAAATTACAATTTATAACATATTTTGATACAAGTATCTGGTATTTATTTACTATTACAGCATGGAGGTTATTAAACCGAGATTTTACCATAAGCCGTTGTGTGTAAAGTTGAATACACTTGACTTACGCAGGTAACGGGTTACTAACATTATATTAGCTACATGTCAGTTACACGGAATACTATATGAAATGGATATTATCAAAACGTTTATCGGATTTAGTAGAGATGTGTTTACTATATATTATTATTGTTACAAAGTAATTATTGTTAAATTCCCTGCTTGTGTGGGACGATTAAATGTTCGCATGAACTTAAATGAACTAAAATAACTAATAAAATATATTAAGATAATTCCTTGACTTCTATAAGTTCTATCAATTCCAACTACAATAGTTTTGATTTTTAATTACAACGATTAACATATTTATATATTTTTCATTAATTTTCTTTTCCTTTAAAAATGTACTGTACATGGTTAAAACAGTCTTATTAAGTTTAAAATTTAGTACAGGAACAATTATGTTTTTTCATAAAATCATACTAAATATATAAAAATATTAAATATACGTAAATATAATATATGTATACCTATTAAGTTTCAGTTTTTAATATTAAAATCACAAAACAAAATAAAATTAACAAATATTTTTATTTGAAATAAAAACGTCACAAATATTATATAATATAATTATTATAATAAATATAATTATATACTATTGTACACTACACATTAATCATTAATATTTTAATGTTCAATACTAAAATAACGAAAAAATAAAAATAAAAATTAATGAGTATCTTTTTCATTATAAATCAAAACTCCATTTCCATCTTCAAAGTCATTATTTAATTGATCAATGCTATTTTAAAAATATCACAGTAAAATTCTTTGACATCTTTAGGAACTGTAAAATATTTAATTAAATTTTTTATACCATTCTGTTTTGGCTCTTTTATATGATTGAGCTGTAAAAACTTCAAGACATAATTTAAATTTTTTAAGTTTGCATTTCGTTTTAAAACTTGTATTTAATGTTGGAGTAACTTCATAGTATAAACTATAAAGATGAAATTCCTACTAATTTTTTTTTATAAGATAAAAGACTATAAGACTATTGAGTAAAAAATAAATTGTATATAACCAAATGTAGGTATATTAATAGTACTCACTAAATAATTTGTTACTTTATTAGTCATAAGCTTAACTTGCTTAGATCACATCTCTTCTAATTTATTGTATTTATAACTATTTAATAATTTAAAAGAACTTTTAAAATTTAATATATTCATAACAAAATATATTTAAATTTTAATGTATATTTTTTTCGTTGAAATATGGAATTATAAATATTAACATTGTAACATGATTTTTATTTTAGTACTATCATAAAGAAACCATGATCAGCTATCATAAATTTTAGTGGAAAACTACTATCTGTAAATAAATATGGATAAGCTAAACATATAGTTATTTTATGTTGACTTTCATATTGTTTTTTTATTTATAATCGTTGGTTTCTTTTAATACGATTTAATTAAATAATTTTAGAGGTTTTAGCGATATTTTATTTGCTTCTTTTGAATAAAATTTAGTTTAGTTGCTATATCAATTATATGTAATTACACATTATGAATATAATTATAGACATGAAAAGCGTGACCTATGATTTAGTAAAGGATATATTATGTTTTGAAAAAAAATAGAAACAGACATATTTGGAAAAAAATTCGATTGGAAATAAAACGTAATGAAAAAAAAAAAATAAACTTTATACTGGGATCTTGTACGTTTTAACCAAAATTAATGATTTCAATCAAGTTTTTACAATCTTCTCTGTAATAATCAACATATAACTAGATTTTTATTAAAAACAGAGATATCACTTCGTTTGTTTCTCATGTATTTATTTTCTTTTTTTAGTTTCAAGCTGCTCTGCTGCAACGATGGAACCTACCGTCGTTCATGTGCGCCTTTTGTCCATTTATACATGTCCTTTCCATTACGGTTAGTGTGTTCACACTGACCGCTATAGCTGTGGACCGGCGCCAAGCAATACTCAATCCGTTCTCGTGAGTATTTTATTAATTGCAGCTTGCAAACTTTTAAGAATTGGGTCACATAGTTTATTAAAAGGTGATTCAAAATGCAGATGGTTCTACTTTAATGTTATCGATTCCCTTATCTTATAATTATGAAAAAAATCATGCGTGCAATTAATCCTCACTTAATAAATAATTACTTAAAGGCTACATTACTACAGATATAATATTTAAATTGTAAATACATTTATTTATTTTAGTCTATGATTAGACATGTATCATTGAATATTTTTTATTACGTTTCAGTTTTTGAAGTAATTCTCTATTTATTTTTTTTTCGTAACAAATAATAATTAATCAAGCATAAAAAAAAATTACCGTCGAATTACGATTTAAATTAATCAAATTTCATCTAAATTCATAGTAAATAAATCACTGCTATTTCTATAGTTTACTTAACTAATACAAACGCGTAAAAAACTAAAAAATATAAATTACAATGAACAAATAAATCCTATATGCTTAATTACGTATATACTCTAATTGAATAAATAACAATTGAATTTAATGTTTGGAGTTTCACCGAATTTATAAATTTATAATCCAAACTTAATTCTCTTAAGCATAGGGTATATAGACGTATAGTGATGCGTTTAATATTAATTTTAAAAATATGAATCATCGTATATTTGAAGAACATTTTGAATGAATATTAGTTAAAATCGAGTTCTTTATTAACATTTATTCAAAAACTGTCCATATTTTTTTTTACACTTTGATAAAGACTATTGAAAAACTAAAAAACTCATGTTTAAAGTTCCGTACAGAGTCAACTTTTGATCTACAAACATGTGAACATGCTGTATAAAACTTTATAAACAATTCATAAAAAAAGCATTCAAAGGAAAAAAACATAGTAAAAAAAAAAAAAAACACTGTAAAAGTTAGAACCAATGCATTCCTCTATACGTACCCATTCTAAAATAGCTGTTTTTTTAATATAGTTTAGTATCAAATGTTAGTGTTTTTGAATGATGAAAAGCATAAGATATGCGTGAGAACTTTTATACTTCACAATAAAAACATAACATTATTTTTTAAGTTAGAACTACTTGAGATGTTAACTTTGGACGCCGGTTAAATAACAATTAGATAATATAAATTTATATTTTTATGTAAACCATGAATGTCGATATGGAAATTGCTTTTAATATCAATTTTATGACTGATTTAAAGTTTGAATAAAATAATTTGACAATATATTTCGTACACTGAACTGAGCCTTCGACTCTCTTAATAATAATATCATAAAAATTAGTATTAGTGTTGTAAGTATATCTACAACATTATTTTCGTGTAATAGCAAGTATGGTATCCATATTACATGTCAATATAATGCCATAATGGAACTATTATTGTTTATCATTTGATATTTAAATAATATTTTATTTATATAATAAAATACGTTCTAACCATACGTCTTACAAGATTTTTTTTTAAATTTGTTTTATAATACTCTCTTACTAATAATTTATTAAACATAGATGTAAATATTTTTTAATTTACTTTTAGTGATAAATTAAGTCATACTTCATACATTAATATTATTACATATGTATTCGTAATATTATAAAATCAAAAATACATATTTAGTAGTGTCATCATTTTCTCAAATAAATAAATATAAATAATTGAGTATATATAACTATTGTGGATTTAAATTTATTAAGCCACTTTGACTATAGCTAGAAACTAGATCAATTTTCAAGGTATCTTGTATCTTTTACTAGATAGACAATATTAGTATAACTTAAAACTAGTTAAAATATTAATTAAATACCTAATTTATTCATTCGACAGCATCAATATCCTTTTATACAATATAATAACAATATATTGCAATATAATAACGTATTCATTATAAATAATATACTTGTTATGTGTACATATAAACCACAAAATCGCTAATACTAATCCAATGAAATCCCTAGAGTACACATTTTGAATAAGAAATCCTAAGCACGTACGTTCATTATTATTTTACATAAATAATAATAGTGCGTAAAATGCATGTGAATAATGGGTAACGGTAGTTCATTGCAGAGTATAATGAATGATGATAAAAAAAAAAAATATAATACAACCCATTTGATATGATCAGTAGGATAAGAAATCGTAGCCAACCATAATATGCGTTATGAAATATCAGCTGCTACAAGTGCCTGCAGTTTAATATAACATTTCTAGTTATGCTTAATAATATACGTTATCCAGGCCCATACAATAAAAATTTCAATTTTCTAAAAGTAATATTATTGTCTAAAGTGCGTGACGTTATTGAAATTATATTAACGTGGATTAAAACAAATACACATACAATACGACGTACCTAATATTATTGATTTATATTCACACGCATATATTCTGTAAAGAAGATTTGAAATGAAAGAGTTAAATATATTTATTTTTATTTAAATTTCGGCTCAGCAGTTGCCTATACTCGTTATTCGTTACACTGACAATAACGGTACAAATCGATTGCACGTTCTACTGATTCTCCGAGTAAACCACATGACTACATGGAACAAGAACGAGTGTATTATTATTATATTTACGTCGGTATTATGAAAATAATGTGATATCATAATATAATTAGATGCATAGATACTGCCATACTATGAAATAGAATGCCGCTTACAAAAAAATGATCTTTACTAGTTAATTATTTTTTTTTTCTTTACCGCAGAAAAAGTTATTTCATCAAACCGAACCACTCAAGTGTTGTAAAACTAAAATGTCCTGTCGATAATGGTTCATGAAATAATTGTTGAAAAAATAATTATAGCGCATTCTGCAAAATATAACAAAAGTTTTATTATAATTACAATTTTTAGAGTATAAATTATAAAATTATTTGTTCAGTGGAAACGATAATAATTAAAATTTTCTATTGCCTGATCAACTTAATTCATTATTATTATGATCAATTGAAAATCATATAATTACTAAAACTATTAATTCTACATTAAAACTTAGTAATATAATATTAATAATAATGGCGAATGAATAAAATATAAAAGTTTAAAATGTATAAATAATACCAAAAATTGTAGAACTGACAACCATTGTATCAAAAATAGGTACTATTAAACAAAAGAGGCATTATTTGGGTATTTTGCATAATAGTAACGTGAGAACTTAATAATGACTATCATGATAAATATTCAATATTTCATTAATAATAATAACCATGATGATGTTGATTAAACAATAAATATCATGTAGGTATATGTGGTTTAAAATTCTAATTACAATAATATTTGCTAATTTATGTATACAACTATACAAGGTTTCTTGTAAATGGTTTAATCTATAGAAAAATTATATTATTTATGAAAAATAAATTATTTTTACTCATATAAATAAACTGTAAGATATCCTTAAAAATAAAGACTGGTATACTCTATCTTCGCAGCGATTAATTTCTGTAAATGATTTACCATTAAATTCAAATTTAACAAATTTATTACAGTGGAAATAAGTATATTCTCAAAAAATCGGAATTTACTATAAAAAAAAAATCAACTTCTACTGTTATTCGCAGTTTGTAAAATCATAACTGTCATAAAATTAAAATAAATTTTAACAAATGAAATTAAATATTAATACTTTCATGTTAATACAAAAGTTTTCAATTATTGTCTACCAAACTTAATGAAACCATCTCTTCCTTATTAGAAGATAAGAAACAACCATTAACTAGCTCAGAATATGAAACATATTTTATTATTAACCCACCAATACCTTATATAGGATTAAACTATATGCAACACCTATGGCGTACAACTTACAGTAAAACATATCCTTATAGAATGTCGCAATCTCTGACAAGAACGTGAGGAAGATACCTTCTCTATCAGGGATGACTCCAGAAACTTGGTTGGGAGAGAGGAAAGGGTAAAGTTATAATGTTCATAATAATGGAACAGCTTCTGTTCTTTATCCACCTCAAATAATTCAAGCTCAGAACCTCATCGTAACGATGATTGTAACAATAAAAATCATCTGGCTAGTATTTACCAAAAAATATAAAAAAATAATATATCTGCTATTGTTTTAATTTTAAGCTCGCTTCTGTACTTTTCTACAACTACTAATGGTAGTTACTGCCACGGATGTATATTAAATTAATAAAAAAAGAAAGAAGTTTACATGATATTTATTTAGCCGTTGAAAAAATAACTGTAATTTACATTATAAAATAAGTTATTGGACAATCAGAATATTATCTTAAAATTTTAAAAATATAAGCCTGTTCTATAATATAAATAGTACGAATAATTATGTATATGACTTACCCAAAAACTATTTATGACAATAAATTGTTAATCATGTAAAAGCTTTTTTGCTTACTATAATTTATATGATATACATAAATAAAGAGAAATTTAATATTATAAATTAATTTAACCATCATTTTTCAATGTTATATCCATAACATTAACTCCAAATACCAGTTTTTAAAAAAAATAAACAAATAAAAAGAAATCGAAAAATCCATCACGGTGTAATTAGCGTTAAAGACTAGGATTATTATAGATTGGAAGGTTTTTTTTTTTTTACTTTGCCTTTTATAAATTCAGTTGTTCATATTCACAAATAACTTGATATTGGTAAAAATTATAATTTTTTTTTTATTTACACATTTTTAAATCTCTATAAATATAATACATAATATTACTGCACAGCTCAACAATAAAAATTAGAAATGAAAAATGTTTTGTTGAATCTTTAAACAAAAGTAATAGGTTCTTTGTCGACTTATTAAATGCTAAAAATCGCTTCTTAACTTACCCTCAGCTTCAGGACCTATACTTATGGTGGAATTAGTAAAATTCCACTTTATAATACGATTATTATTTTAGTTCTATAAAATCAATAGTTTCGTTCATATAGACAAACAACTAAAAGTAATTTAAAAAAATAAAATTAAAAATTATATTTTAGCTTAGATTTAACCATACTTAGGTTTTTATACTTTACCTATTTAAAAAAAAAAAAATGCTTTATCTTTGCTTAATGGTAGTTTGAAAATTATTATAGTTATTTAATTTTTTAATTTTAAACATATTTAAACAAAACAAAATGAATATTTTTCCATTTTTTTTTTTTTTGCACTTTTTATAAATCATAGTTTAAAAACTTTAAACTTAAGTTATTTCATAAACAAAGCACTTTAAAATACAGTATTATCTTAATCAAAATGTATTTATATATCAGCACTTTCACATCTAATATTCGATATATTAAACATTTCTAAACTATTTCGATAAAACTCTATGGGGTCTAGGTATTAGGTAGTAAAATATTATTTTTTATAATACGATCGTATTATGCTACATACGATAATGTTATGAAAGTAAGTATTTTACAGAATATTATATCAAATAGGTTTCGTATATTTTATTTATAATAATTCTTTTATGCGTTTTGTATACAAGTATGAATAATAATATAACACAGACGATTCAGTTTTCATCTCCTCAACCGTACGACGTGCGCACTTATCTAAATAGGAAGTACGTCAAAAATATAAGACCACAATGGATCTTCAAATATTTTGTGAACATTTTTTAAAGCGTATTGTCGTTTATTGAAGTCCTTCACATACCATCTGCAATTTGTATCGTTTAACTTAAAGAGCATTTTTTATGATCGATCAACCACATGGAAGATCATTAATCGTGTTAAACCAATACATTTCTTACAAAAATATTGAAAACTGTACATAACTTGAAGGGAAAAATTCGCTTTCAACTTTCTAAAAACCATATTATTAAATTTTCTTCTTTTCAGTTTGAACGATGATATGCTGAATAGGATACGACTTTTAATATTATATCCGAGACAGTCACTGGTGAGGAAAACAAAATTAAAAGCTATAATGAGTACATCATTTTTTTTGAAACCTCAAAAAATATGCTTAGGAAAAAAACCTATATTATTGTACTTATATTTAGCTACATAAGTTTTATATACAAACTAGCTAACCAGGCAACACATTGTTGTGGTTATTAAAACCCGTTGAATTAATGTTATACAAAACTATTAAATTTATAAAGTTCTTATGATTGACAACATTAAAATTTAATCTTATAAATTAGGTAGATATCGTTAATTTTTATCTATTTTTAATAATAATTTTTATAATTTTAAATTATAAAAGTGTTTAATGTTATTAATGTTATCTTCTGCCTGTCAACCAGTTTTTTTCCGGAAAATCAAAATTATTAATTAATACCTTAGAGTTATGTTTAAAGTTATAATTAGAATTATAACACAACATCAGACGCACTATTCCAAAATCAAACATGTTATTATTTTCTTTTCTCTCTATCTCTCTCTCAAATATCTCTCTAATATTATATATTCAATCAAGATATAAATTATTCTATACTTTAAGTTGGACCAAATCACATTCATGAGCAAAATCAAAATCGGCTGTGTAGTTCTGTAGCGCATTACACGCAAACCCGTTGTACGATTAATCTTCACATATAAATATAATAATACACTTTTAATTTATTTTGTATTCACGGAACAAGCCTTTTTTATTGTATCCTATAATATAAAACATTTTAAATATATAACAATCCCAATGCAATAATATATTAATAACAACAGTTGCAATGCATTTATGTTCGCAGTGCAAGGACATCAAAAACCCAATGCCTGTGCGTGATCGCATTGATCTGGATTGCCGGCTTGGTGCTAAGTTCGCCGATGGCGTATGCACAGCGGGTAGTTTTCGTGTCCGAAGACTGGCCGTTCTGCCTCAATGTCAATCTGCCAAACAACGTGATGTTCGTGTATAGAGCGCTACTAGTAGTCGTCCAATACCTCATACCACTATCGATCATGACGTGGGCCTATTCCGGGATAGGATTCGCTTTGTGGGGATCTTCGGCTCCCGGAAACGCACAGTCACAGAGAGACTTGAATCTGATGAGAAATAAAAAGCGGGTAAGTTGCCAATATATCACGAGCAACATTATTGTAGTTTTTATAATAGTCGATATAATAACAGCCTTTGTAGTGTAGACCAATTATTACGTATGAAATAATGATGAACATAATAAATAATAATATGTATATTTAATACATATTTGTACATGGTAATATTATATTATGTACTACAACTATAACTTCATAATACCATGGAACTGATTGATAAGTTTCCACAAATTATCTTTTTTTATTAATTCGTATTAATATAATTTATAGCTGTCACCGTGACCGAAGTTTAATACGATTTTACCATTAGGTACATTGCAATGTATATTATATAGTTATAATTGTTATGCTTCTAAATTGTAAAACTTTACGGTTTAAACTTTAGGTTCTGGTAGATTCGACTTTCAAACATTTAAGCCCGGATTAATAAGAATAATTTAATGTTTTCTCTTTTTACTCTTTTTAAAACTAACTACGAGTAAATTATCAAAGAACCAAATAATATTTGACCACAATTAAAAATAAAATTAATCTTCCAATAACTCTTTACAGAATGTTATTTGATTGGCTAATCATAATATTATTTTATTTTTTTAAACTTTATTGTGTAATATAGAAACGTTCAGAATGTTATAATAGTCGCATTATGTAATAATATTAATATGTAACAAATATGTTTAAAAAAGTTTTGATTTCACCATTAAATATTCTTGAGATGACATTTAATTTATATATATATATATATATATATATATATATAATATAATTTAACTCCGTGAAAAATAAATCTGAATACTTAAATTTTTTTTTTTAATTCTGTGAATACTTAGTGAGTATTTTTTAAACTATTAAAAATACAGAAATAAGTCTTTAAATTTTTTTTGAATAATTTATAAAGTATTATTTAATATTTATTTTACAATTACGTGGAAGCAATTTCAATTCATAATTTTATTAGAATTATTACATTGATTTGGTACATATTTGATATTATTATTGATATTTAAACATGTAGAGCATTTATTTTTAAACAGAATATTATAAGTTATGAGAGCTGAGAACATTTATATACGCGTAATAACAGCTAAGTAGTAGGTTAACTCTAAATAATATGCTATTTCGTAGGTACCATAACATAAAAATACATTACGTGCCTTAAAAATAAATGCAAATGAAAAATATTTTAAGTTTAAAAAAATCGAATTTTTGTGAGAATAATTAGTATACATTTTTGTTGAATATATTATTAAATATTATAGTTTGCGTTATTTACGAATTTCCTATAAGACTCTATCTTATTAAAATATTTGAATCTTTTCCGTTACACGTCATTATTTTATCTGATCAATTTTCCAAGCAAGTGATCTTACAACGTCAATCGGCGCTAAAAAAATGATTTTTAACTTATGATCTATACGACTATACATTAGGTGGTTTTGTAAATCAAATCGGATAAATTTTTCGATTTAAACTACGCCCTACGATTGAGTGATTCAGCGCCATTTCTCTACAGATATATTGTTAGCCTATGTAGTAATGCTAGCATAGTTTCCTGCTATACTTTCATTCTGTAAGCATATGTAAAATCATCTCGAGTATGTCACTACTTGAAGGGTAAAAATCATTTTTTTTTTTTTTTTTATTAACGTCTTACAGAAACTCTGTTTGGATCTTTTCTCTACGTATTCCTAAAATGTTAATGCATTTTAAATTAATTTCTTTTGAGTATTATCCTATATCTTACATTCTATAATTGATTACGTGCGCATTTTAAATATACGGTAATAGTTTACAACCAGGTTTTAAATAGATATTCTTTTAATTTTTCTAGTCATAACTCATAAGTTCACGTTTTTTTGAAATTATTATACTATTATACTATTTGTCCTAATTTTTTTCCCCTTAGACTTATGAGTTATAGTATACGGTATATGTTCACAATTAATTCTAAGTCATAGAAAAAATTAAATTTTATTTTTTATTTAGAAATGTCATTCACATAGTTAACTTTATTATTGTGAGTATCTTTTCCGAAGTCTTCAACACGAAAACTTCATATTATGATTAACCTATATGTTTGATCATACAAACTTACACAACCAATTATAACTAAGTTATATCATATTATATAATAAATATAGTAGTTATATTTTATATAATATTAATTATGAAGTTAGAATACAGTCATATTAAACTTGACACGATTATATTTTCAAGGTCATAAAAATGCTTATCATCGTCGTCGCGCTGTTCACATTATGCTGGTTACCCCTGCAAACGTACAATATATTACAACACATATTTCCTCAAATTAACGAGTAAGTATTGTATTTTTATTATAATTTTATATTTTTTTTTAATTATTGACTTATTTTATTATTAATATTATTATTATTATTACCAATACTGTGCTTTTGATAAATAATAATATATTTTATTATCAATTTTATTTCAGATATCCTTACATCAACATAATTTGGTTCTGTTTCGATTGGTTCGCCATGAGCAATAGCTGTTACAATCCATTTATTTATTCAATATATAACGTGAGTACAAAATATTTAAGTTTAATGGATAAAAACTTTTTTCTAATTTATAGTATAGTTTTAATCATATCATGTTTATAAATCGTAACCAAAAGCATAAATGTAAACAGTGATAATAAATTAAAAATTTTCTGTTTACTTTGACGACATTATATGATATTGATACATATATTATTAAGACCCTTTTCTGCGTGAATTTTCGTGTGAACTGCTAATGAAATTTTTGGATTATGTATAATATACATTGTATATTATGTACAGTATACCTACAACTTACTGATGTTTATACATAACTACTCAACGGTAGTCAATAAGTAACGTTTTGTAATAATGACTTTGGTTAAAGGAATTTCAAAACAAGTTTAAGAACATTAATTATTAATATGTAATTACTAATTATGTATTTTATAGTACTTTTATTCTTTATATTTTAATGAAGCCTACGAGAATACTCAAAGACAATACCACAATTAGTTAGTTTTTTAATAATGGTCATTTTCCAAAAACATTTTGTGGTACAAAACCTACAATTTGTGTTTATCTCAAAGTTAATAAACTTAAATAAAGTATTTTATGTTTAAATTATGTTTATAAAACATCAACGTTCTAATAATTATATAATGACTATAAAAATACAATTATTCTACAGTTAACTTTTCACTTTAGAGGCAAGTTTACACTTAATGTATTATATGAAATAATTTTTTACGCAATTTAAATGTCATCAACGTCATTACTGTATTCTTAACATCAAAAGCTTGTGAAAATTATTAAAAAGACATACAACTTTAAATTTGTAAGAACTCTGTAATAGGATGTATCTTATAATTATTCACTTTTTACTTAACCTTTAGTTTTTATAATAAAACAAATTAAAATTTTCATTATCTAAAATCTATTGTAAATTATATTTATATATCTAATAATGTGTCAGACTGTATATCGACAATAAAATTTAAATAGTAAAATTGAATTACAATAATGAATAAATTAATATTTTTTTTTTAATCTGTCATTAGAATTTGTTTAATATTTCTTCTATTCTCCACAATGTCTTCCAAATTTGATAATTCAGAAAAAGCGCAATCTTCAATACCTTTAGTAGTTTAAATAAAACTTCTTAATGTTTTTAAAGCATGTTTAGCTTGTTGAATTATTACTGTAGTGACTTTCTCTTCATCGTGTAATTCGTCTTCACCCTCATTGTGATTTTTGATATTTCTAATAAAATGTCGTTATCTGTCCATGTTCCACATAGATATAAATTGTTGTCTAATTCCACTTATAGTGAAATTCCATTTATCATCAAAAATAGTTAAGTTATCTATTGAAATAATATCACCGTCTTTAAAACCGGTTTTATGAAGCAATTTTATAATATGGTCTATTGTGTTACACTTCTCCAAGCCTTATCAGACATTTTTATTACTTGGAGTATGTTTATAGAAAATGATTCATTATTACCGATATTATCGACTGATCTTCTGATTATTTCTTTTCTATAAAACATTTTAAAATGTTGTATAACGCCTTAGTCCATAGGCTGAAGAATAGACGTTGCATTAAATGGTAAATAGTATACTTTAATGGAACTTAATGAAATATCGTTGTCATGAGCTGTACAGTTAGGTATCTATGAATAGGTAGTAAAACTTTTCGATTTTCTAATTTCATTTTTCTATCAAAATTTTAGAACCATTCACTAAATAATGACGAAATCATCCAAGTCTTTTTATTTGACCCATAGTCGATTGGTAAAGATTTAATTCCTTTAAAACACCTAGGCTTCTTTGCGTTGCCAATGACGGATAATTTTAATTTTTCATTTCCAGACATATTTTCTCCTATCATAATTGTAATGCGCTCTTTAACGTATTTTCCACCCGAACATTGTTTACCTTTTAACATTAGAGTTATATCTGGTACGTATGTGTTTTAATATTTCATCAACACTAAAAATATCAATAGAAGAAAATCCTGCTAAAGTGTCAGGAAGATTTTTAATCCAATTTGAACAACAATGAATGTCTACTGTCTAACTTTCTTCACAAACTTTTCAAAAAACTACATCATGCCTTTTTTTCAATTTGTAAGCCAACCGTTACTAGCTTTAAAATTAGTATGCCCTAGTTGTTGTACATATTCGTTTGCTTTTTCAAGTAAAATTTTTCCATTTAATCATATGTTTTTATCTCAGCACTGAGTAAACATTTTTAATAAACATATATCGATATCCAAATAAGAAGTCATCTTGATTTTTTTCATATTTCCATATTGAATTTCAAAACTTTATCCTTCTGTTTAATAATTGACGATAATGTATTTGATGAAATATTGAATTCATTGGCGATTTCACATTTTTACGATCACCTTTTTCAACTAACTATATTAAACGAACTTAATCCGAAATTCTAAGGACATTTAATTTACGCTTTTTTTTTCATTTCACTATATTATTGTACGAACGACTATAAAATATATTGATTACCTACAAACGCGCGCAATCACAATTACTATACTAAATGTACCTACTGTACAATTTTCTATTCCTACTTAAATAAAAATAATATTTATGTACTCGAGATAACGAAAAACGATTAATTTTATATCGATTTATCGAGAGCGAAACACTATTAGTTGTAATGGTAGTTTCAAGGGGACTTAAATGTAGTTCGAGATAACTAAAAATTCAAGATATCGACGTTCGACTTAGTAGGAATCTACTGTATTACAAAATAAATCTTATTAGTACGTAAATTTAAATTTAAAATATTTTTTATTGAAACGCATGAAAAAATAATTTTTCCTTAAGAAATATTTTGTCCTACATTAAAGAATTTAAAAATTAATATTTATTTTTAATTTTCATAGAATTAAATATTTGTAGTGAATAATTCTTAATTATCATTATGATAGTAAAATTAATTTTCACTGATAAGTTACCTACTTAATTTTCTATGTAAATAAAAAGTATTATGTTCAGCAGAAAAAAACTGTGTATTATAAATAGTGAATGAAGTGTTTAGATGTTAATTTGAGTGCGTGTTATGTATACACTGTGGTTTACTAAATAGATTTTCTTTTTTTAACGAATTAATCGATTTGTTGAATTGACGTGATTAAGTTTCGGAACGTAGTTTTTAACGAGAAATAATTTCACAAATCTGAACTTTTTAATGAAAATTTTTGGTTTGAATAGAAAATTAATTAGTTCAAAACTTCAAACTGAAAATATCAAAATTAGCGTAAACAATAAAATTATAAAATCGTCTATACAATTTTACAGATATTACATTAAAAAATTACGGATTCTCCTATTATTACAATAAAGAATTCGATTATAAATTTAAATATTCTAGGTTTTGGAAATCGGAATTATTATTGTAACATCATATCGATAAGTTGGACAAACGATAACGTAATATATTTTACTCTGGAAAACGATCGCTAGGAATAATAAATTACCACATAATATAGTGCGATCGGTCGGGCATAATAAACTGATTTAAGCGAGTCCAATAAAAAAAAAAAAAAAAACAATTTACCTATATCGAAAACAATGCTGTGCTTTACGCCAACAATAATTATTATTCGCAGGAGAAGTTCAAACAAGAGTTCAAAATGCGGTTAGACTTCATGGCGGGAAAGAGGCGACTTACCAGGGATCTGAGCGCTTTTTCCAGCGGTCGTTTTGAGTGGCGCACTAATCACGTGAACACGCACGAACGAAACCTAAAGCATAGCTCGATCGTCACCAACGACACGCCACTGATACTTACGCCCGATGCGTGATCAAACAATTGATCGAAGGGCTGCGGCCTTGTGAGACATTTATCTATTTAATATTTATTCCTGTGTAATTGTTTAAGTTGCGGTGCAGATGTAAAATGTGTTTTTTTATTGTTTTCCCACGCACAATAATATTATAATGGAACATAATATATCTTGTCTAGAAGCACCGAGACTCCGTTGTTCTTGTTCTAGATAACCAATTTTTAGCATGTTTTTTTTTATCGCCATTTTTGTTTTCTTATTCCTACTATCAATTTATCTTTCTATTTACTATAAAATTATTCAAGTATAACATACATAATATTAAAAATGTTATATAAGACTCATTAATTATAACATAATTATTGATTTATGTCATCGATATTAAATCGATTCTGATTGGTTTTTCAACCGAATATTGTTCATTAAATATATTTGTATATATTATTTATTATAATACGTATATAGGTAAGTCTACTATATCAATTCCAATCATTATTTAATGTACGCCCTCTAATTTTCATAAAATAATGTGTCATTTCATATTTTCCACGACCAAAATGATTTTGTTTAATTACTAATAAATAAGTATCTAGTTATGCAAACTCATACTGTATCAGTTTACTATACCTACTGTAATAGTTATTTAGGTATTAGTTCTCAACTAGGATTTAGAAAAAATGTTCCTTAGTTCTTTGGTCATGTTATGTATGTACAATTTTGTATCTTAATTGTAACTAACAATTAAGTACATAATACATATTATATATTAATATACTATTATTAATGGTAATCACGTGTTTTACATTTTGATTATGTATTTATGATAATAAGATAACAATATAATCAGAATACATCATTTAAATATCAGAAAATTTAAATAAAAAATAGTTTTTGTACAATAGCGTTTACATCATACAATTTTTTTTTTCAAAATATAAAAACATTGCTAAACAATAAAGGAAATCAAGAAAATTCAAAATTCTTTAATGAAATTGTAAATAAAGAGATTTCAGTATTTTTAGTACCCAATAATAATGTGAACAAAAAATGCTCGACGTGATAGATATAGTAAGTATTATCTTTGACAGATTATATATTTCAAAAAAAATTATTTATAGGTTTTCTATATCTTTTGAAAACCTCTACATAATTTTGAAATAGAAATTTTTATTTAATTTTAAATAATTTTTATTGCATGCTTTTATAAATAATACAAATTATGTCAGTTTAATTGTTTCAATTAATGACTGGAAGGCTATAAGTCTCGTTGACTTCAGTATTTATAGATAATTTTAACCTTATTCAATGTACAATAACCATTATAAATTATAAGATGTAGTAACAGATAAGATATAATTTTCTTTTTTCTTTTTGTAACAACAAATTTATGAATTACATTGATATATTAATACATAACATTTAATTAATAATAATAATTGCATAAAATTAAATGTGCTATTGTGTAAAAATCAAATATACACAAAAATTAATGATATTAATACAGCAAAAGTGATTATCACAGATAATAGACAAAAAAAAAACTCCCTTTACAAAAACTAATAATATATATATTTATATATATTAATTAACTCCCTGTTTGGCTCAATGATAGTACTTATAAATAAATACAAATTAATAGCAACAGTTAAAATATTAAAACACGTCAACTTTAAAAAAATAAATAATTGTTTACATCATTAAATGAGATTTACCATAATAATATTTTAATAAAAAAATAAATATATTGGATTGAATTTAAATTAATATAATATTACGTAAATACAATTAAAAAATGGCTATTATGACCATTCTGATTTCTCGCATAGTAATCCTGCAGGAGTGTTAGTAGTGTTACTTTAAATTAATAAATTTTATTCAACTTATGGATTACCTTAAAAATAATTGTATACAAATAATTACTTATCATAACTCATAAGATCCACTTTAGTCAAAAATTTTTTATGAACGGGCTATCAAGTAATTAATACTAATAATCACAATTGCCTTTACGGAAAAATTATATTGGACTTGTTTTTCTTATTTTTTATTGACTACTAAGATTAAAATTACTAAGAGTTCAAATTCAATATACCTTGAAAAAAATATACAAGTTACATAGTTACTTATTTTTATCAGTTTGCTGTTAATATGTCACGAATTGATATTAAATTGTAAAATTTCCATATTATATTTTAGAAATTTGTATCTGGCCACTTGTGAGTGAACTATGAGTTGGGCGTCACTAATTTAGCTACTATAGGTATTAATAAAATAATGTTATTTTTAATTTTGAGTGATAATTACGTATAAACATATTTTTATCATTGATTTTTTCTAAGATATTACTTAAAATTGTCAAGAAATCAAATATTTTATTGATTCAGAATTTAATATAATAAGTACTTTGTGGATAGATTATTTTAAAATTCTATTGTTTTCTAAGATGTACAAAAAAAAATCACTAAGTTTAAAAATGTATTTATGAATGCTAGAACAAGCACGTTTTTAGTACAATAACTTGATTTACTGTAAAACACTAACGTATCAATGTATACATATATATATATATATATATTTTTTTACTTATAAGAAGGAAACTTTATGATAGTTAAGTTTTATTTTTATCAAAAAAACTCTATTTCCAAATTTTCTAATCTAAGTATTTTTAAACATATTTATCTGGCGTTATTTAATGTAAATTAAAAATCAAAAGCCAAAATATGACCTAAATAAAGATTTCTTTTTGTAAACAAAAAATTAAAAAACGCCGATTATAGAGACGTGATTGTTTTTTCTGTGAAGTCATTTTTAAAGATTGAAATAGTTGAATTTTATTTTCTAGTACAGTTAATTATAATATAGCCTCTGCGTAGCGTAACTAGATATATTTATTTTTGAATATTTGCTCTTTCATTAATAGTCAGTAAAACGAACTAATAAATTAATTATTTACCCACTTTCATTTATCTTAATTTTATACTCATTATAATTTTTTGAACCCAGGAATTTATTATTATTTTCAATTTACAATATAAATATAACACGTTTGCTCTAGTGCACTTGAATCAAATCTTAACTTATGTTACCAATATTTTGCTACTTATTTATATGATAAAGTAAATAAAACATTTTGAATTTCTGAATAATTTAAACGAAAATTTCGATAAATAAACTTACTTTCAAACTAAAAATGAAATGAATATATTTTATATTGTTTTATTATTATTTTAGTTTAATCTTAGCTGTATAAGTTATAAACTTTTTTCCTAAAAACAAATTGAAGTAAATCAAGATAGACTAGAGTACTTTATCATATTAAGCTTTTAGTTTTAATCCTCTTATTAAGGACAATATTTCAATATGAAAGAAGAACTTTTTGAATTGTGCATGGATCTAATACTTGAAAACACCATATAATGTAGTGCAAAGTAGATATTAAGTTGTTTCATCATAACCGTTTATTATTTTCCTTCTATAATTCTATCATACTTAAAGGTAAACAAGCCAAAAAAATGACTTATAAAAAATATCAAAATTTTCGAAGCAAGTAAATAATATAATCACAGTAATAATATTTACATTTTTAGGTAATAAACGTAAAATTAAAATATATACATAAATATTTTGATTGTATAGTTATTGAATCACAGCACTTTTACATGGCAACTCATATTATTGAGTTCACGTTTAATTGATACTTGGCATCTTATCACGTTATTACCGCAGCCTTTTCCACCTATAAAAAATAAATTAAATAAAATAGGCGCCCTCTTAATTTCACTAATATTTATTCTAAATAAACCATTCTTTCAAAACTTACTTTTTATAAGAACAACATAAAAGGCATATGGAGAAAATAGACACGATTCCAATGAAAATTGCAATACCTAACACCGATATCTGTACCCACGTAACAGCTGATTTAACTTGTTTTGGGGAACATCGCTAAACAAAATTACAATCCAGTAAAATATTTAAGTTTCTCAAGAAAAAATTAATATTTCTTACTTCGATGTTTTTAACTTCGTATTGTTTATACACGTTCTTTAACTCGTGATTGCTGGGGTCTTCGAGTAATGAAATAGTATCTTTTGGATTATAATTGTTTGGGCCCACTAGTTGAAAACACGAACCTGTGCTACTAAAATCCAGACTTCCGTCATTTTTTGAATAAAACTGAGTGTCATACAAATTTAAACTAGCTTGAGGTATCCCTAATGATTTTTCAACGTCTTCTTTGAATTTTTTAATGTAGTGACCTACTACATTTGGGGGTCTTGTGAAAACAAACTTCAACAATCCACGATCTTTTACAATAAACACCTATCAAAATAAATGTACATTGGTATTAATATTATATTTTTGATTGCGATTCGAATCAACTTTTGACGTGAAACATGACTTACTTTGACTGTAGTGTTGGAATGTCTTCCAGGAACATCGCTATTGATTGCGGCTACAACTATGTTAAAATAGCCTTCTGAATAGGATGTCATCGAAGATGTAGTTCTAATCTGTCCACTAATCTGATCTAAAAAGAATGGCCAGCTCTTAATTTCTTTTGGATTTTCTAGCCTATGAGCAAAAGTGAGATTTGTGATGTGGTACGTAATTTGTTCTGCCAAACTGTCTACATCGGTGGCTTGTATTGTAGCCACAAGTGTGTCAAGAGGAACGCTTACCCTAACGCCTAAAAATTAAAATGGTTTAGACAAAATCAATATTTAAACAACCATTAACCAATTACTCACCTAAAGTTAAATTTTCGTCGATGAATTTCGGTAAATTATCGTCGATATCAAGTACTTTTATTACTACCTGTCTTTCACTTGGATCTTGTTTATTGTACGATTTATGCAAGCTGTACGCTTTTGTTTTATGTTTAAAACATTTTATTGTCAAAACATATTCAGATACAGATTCTCTATCAATTTCTCCATTGATTCTTATTTCGGCTACATTATTCGAAGAGTTCAAATAAAATACATTGCCCTCGTTTCCATCTAAAATTAGTATTGTTACAACTCATATAAGATCATTGTCTTTTTCTATAACTAAATTAATTAATATACCCGATATAATGTAATCAATCAGTGCATTATCTCCGATATCTGGGTCATAGGCTGCCAAGGAACCAACTAGGGTGCCATGAGACGACTCTTCTTCGACTTCCATCATTAAGGGTTTTTCTTCCTAAAATTTCAAATAATGTAAAAGAAGTTTACAAATAATCTAGTAATACCTACTAAAAAATCGAATCAACACTTACTATGGATCTATTGAATACAGGTTTATTATCATCGACATCGGTAATAATAACGTTGAAAACTTTTGTTGACTGTTGTGGAACACTGCCTAAATC